AATTTATATGCCACTGCATCTCCAGTACCTAGCACCACACCTGACATGCTATAGGCACTCAATAAACATTTGTTGAATTAATAAATTAATCCAGATGGAGCAGCAAATATCACAGAAAAGGAGCTAATATCCATATTATTCAAAGTTCTTCTACAACTCAAAAATAAAACTATAAACAGCAATAATAATAGCTACATCTCATCCTCACAATAATCCAATAGGGTAGGTTCTACGACTGTCCCATTTTACATATGAGAGATCTGGAGATAAGTGAACCAAATAGCTAAGGTGTTTTGGTGACTTGGTGACTTGGGTGAGTCTGACTCCAGAGTGCATGCTTTTAGTCTACTATATTTTACTGCCAACCCACCCCCAAAATGGGCAAAAAGTAGACTACTCAGAAGAGAAATAGACAAATGATAAAGAAACATATGAAAAGACACCCAATCTCATTAATAATGAAAGGAAAGCAAATCAAAGCAACACTGATATACCATTTTTAGTGCCTATAAGATTAACAAATATTTTAAAAATTGCAAATAACAAATGGTATTGGTGAGTTTGTGAGAAAACAGATACACATTTACTCTTATACACCACTAGGTGGAGAGGGGTGTATAACACATATATAGGGCAAATTGGCAGTATCAAAAATTTTAAATGTCTATTACCTTTAGACCCAGGAATTCTTTTATTTTAGGATGTCACCCTCTAAAAAAATGCTCTCACAAATGCCAAAAGATGTTTATTGCAACATTAATCACAATGGAGGGGGGAAAATCCTTGAGAATAACCTAAATTTCTATCAATAAGGGAGTGTTTAAATACATTATAGTGCATTCAGATTTTGTAACCTCCATGGTATATTGGCATATGGCTGAATGAAAAAAAGGAAATTGCAGATCAATATGTAGACAATGGTCTTATTTATGTAAATATAATATTAATGATGACAATCTGCTCTAAAGATGAAATTGTCTGGTTATAACATGGTCCTGCTGCCTTAGGATTGATAAGAGAAGGGGAAAAAGAGAGTGACAAAAGGGAGAGAAAATGAAAAAGGGAGGATAAGGTAATAGAAAAGATAAGACAGAGAACTTCACATTTTAAATTGTATATTATGAGAGGAAGAGAAGAGTGTGGGTTCTGTAACTAGATTGCCTAGGTTCATAGGCGGGCTCTGTACTTTCTAGTTGGGTAATTATCAGCAAGTTACCTCACCTCTCTGAGCCTTAGTTTTTTCATCTGTAACACAGGGATAATAGTACCTATCTTTTAAGGTCCTTACATGGCTAAATTAATTCATGTAAAGCACTTAATGAAGGGTCTGGTGCATTGTAAGCACTCAGTCAACAGTAGCTGTTATTTTATTTGGACCAGGCACTGTGCTATGTACATGATATCACCGAATTGTTACCACAACCGGGGATCTAGTCTGTGGAAGCTGACTGTTAGAGCTCATAAGCACAACACTGTATTCTAGGTCTGACTCCAGAGCCCTCCCAACTTGTGCTATAGTCACTTCTGGGTTCTATTGCCCTCCTTTTATAGTTGAGGAGATCTATATTCAGAGATAGATCAAGGTACCCTAGCTCTAGGTGGATGGTCTAATTCCAAAGCCCAAATGAGCTAATTTTACTGTCCTAGAGAGAAAAGAAAATAGGGAAGAGCCAGAGCTGGGGGAGGGGGTACACTAGAGGGAAGGGCTACTTTGGGTTTTATCTCTAGCAAGGAAGGGACTGAGATACCTTTGGGGCCAATGCAGGGCCAGCCCAGCAGAAGGCAGGGTGGGTGGGGCTGAGTCACAGGAGAAGGGATAAATGCCAGGTCCTAACCCACAGTACCCACCCGTTGTTCGTTCGTCCTCAGTGCAGGGCAACAGGTAAGAGCTGCTTTCAGCCTGGCACCCTCTCTCTGGTCTGCCAGCTGGTCTCTCAGAGCTGTACACACTGACTCTCTGGTCTGAGTAGATCTGACTTTTTCCTTTGTTTGTTTCTCAGAATCTGTCTCTTTTGCATTTTCTTGTTATCTCCCATGTCTCTTTCTGTCTTTCCTCATTTTCAGCTTTCTTCTCTCTTTTTCCCTTCATTACTTTCCTTTGTTAGTTTTCAAGATCATTCATTTCATTTCATCATTCTCTGACACTCTTGCTTTCTCTTATTTTTCCCTCCTCTGACTTCTATCTTTTTCTCTAAATTTCTTTCTCTTCCCCCTTTTTGTCTCTTTCCTTGGCTCTGTATTTCTCTGTCTCTGCATTTCTGTCCCTTCTTCCTCTCTATCAAGAACAATGGCTTAATATTTCTTTCTGCAATTCCCCATTCCACTCTCCCTTTGACTCCCTCTACCTGCTGGACTGACAGCAGAGCTCAGTGGGTCAGAGCCCATGGGGAGCCTAGGGATGAAGAGAAGAGCTAGGGAGGGAAACTAAGAGGATGTGGGGGTGATGGGAATGATGAATTGGGTAAGGAGAGATTTGGGGGAATTGAGAGATGAATAATTAGCAGAAATAAGTGAAGATAGTGGAAGAGGAATGTAGTGTCACTATACAGAAAGTAAACAGATTTCTATTCTCATCCTAATTCGCTGTGAGACCCTAGACAAGTCATTTACCCTCTGAAAAAAAGGATTAGCCTGTAATTTCCACTACCCTTTCTAGTTTTGATGTTGTGATCTTCTACATTTTCCTGTTTCTAAGAATTTCTGATTCTCTGATTCCAGTTATCTAAAGTTCTATATGATTCTTCTGTGGTGGGAAAGTGGTACTAAGAAGAGAAGTAAGGCCTGATGTTTCCAACTCCTGAAGAGAAATTACCACTTCTCCTCCAGAGCTAATTGACTTTTGCAAAGCAGGCCACAAAAGGGGTGGGGGTGTGGGGGACAAGGAATGCTGCAATGAGTGTTTTCTGGCTCTCTGCTGGGGCAGAGTTGCAGTTGGCCCTTTTGACCTCTGGGAATACAGATTGGGTGCTGACACGAGAGAGGATTTTAAAGTCATAGGGAAAACCTTTCAGTAATGATCTGTTATTTGGTCTGAAATTTCACCATCATCTCTTTGGTTAAAAGTGTTGTTTTAAGAAGATGCCTGGCAAGCATTACCACACGGTAGGTGCATAAGTTATTAAATGGTAGAGTAAATGAATATCCAACAGTACCTGAAATTCCACTGTAGTTACAGATCTGTTCCTTTGGTAAGGCATTGGTAACAAATGGCATATGACCTGGAAAGAGGCCTATGTTAGTGCAGCAGAGGAGATAAATGTCTAGAGTCAGGCCCTCAGTCAAGAAAAAAAGGTAGTAACATTTGAATCACAGATCCATAAGGGTTAAGTTAGGAATCTGTGGAAACAGATTGCCTAGGTTCAAATCCTGCTTCTCCTATGTACTAGCTTTCTGATCTAGACAAGTTACTTAATCTTTTTGGGATTCAGTTTCCCTATCATCACAGGGTTGACATAAGAACAGGGCCTGGTACAGAGGGCTCTGTGAGTGTTTGACTATCAGAACTAGGTGGGATCTATGAAATTATCTAGCCCAATGTCAGTGGAGAAACCGAAGCCCAGAGAGGGGAATTACAGAGCCCAAGTTCACACAATAAATTGTACAGGATTGGGACAACAATCAGTCTCTAGCTTCCCAAACCCAGCCTGGTATATTCATGTGACTTCCCTTAGCGTACCTTCATTTTTTCTACATGGGAAATGGAGAAAATAAAAATAATAAAGTCTATCAATTAAATATAATAACTAATACTTTTTCACTGTTTACTCTGGGATAGGTACTCTGCTAAATGCTTTATATGGATTATCTTACTGAATCTTCACAACATTCCTGTGATGCAGATTGTCTTTGTTATTACCAATATTTTCCAGATATAAGATGTATAACAGGGAAGTGACTTTTCTAAGGTCCCAAAGCTAGTGAGTGGTGGAGCCAGGATTCAAACTCAAGTAGTTTGGCTCTAGAGCCTATGCTCTTTATACCCTGAATTGACTAAAATGCTTCCTTGATTCAATTTTATTCACTCTAGTCTCTTGGTGGGTAATGAGATGGAATAGAAACAGAGCCCATGGTAACTAGACTACAAGGTCGTGGGTATAATGATGGCCAGGCAGAGTGAGGCAGAGCAAATTTCAGGAAAGGAATAATAGAACAAGAGAAATGAGAACAGAAGCTTGAAAGAACTTGAGAATTCAACAAATTCCAAGAAGTAGTCTATATTTTCCCAGGACTCTGAGCATATCATGGCCAAAAGCCCCCTAGTGATGACATGTGTTTAATTTCTTCTGTTTTTATATACAGGAGGTAGGCCTTCTCCACCATCCCAAGGCAGGACTGGACTTTGCCTCCAATATTGGGGGCTTTCCTTCCCACTACATACCCCAATGTTGTTGGCATTATTGTTGCCAGTATTGATGTTGGGGGAGTTTACAGGAGCCTGGAGCCTTGTCATCTGCCTTGCCTGCACTTCTGGGCTATCCACTTCTTACCACCAATAGCCAGGGCCAGCTCTAGCCAGATGCTCAGACGTGATTCCAGAAAGGGGCTCCTCTTCTCTCCTACGCCCTGGTCTCAGCTTGGGGAGTGGTCAGACCCCAATGGCGATAAACTCTGGCAACTTTATCTGTGGTCTACAGGCTCAGCCCCAAGTGCTTTAGCTTTCACAAGCAGGCAGGGGAAGGAAAACACATATCTCCAGATATGAGGTAGGCACTGGATCCAATTCCTTACCTACCACGTGAAGTGGCCATAATTACCTCATATTTGACAGCTGATGAAGGCCAAGATCCAGAGAGGGGAAGTAATTTGTACAAGAACATCCAACAATGAAATCGGAGAGCTGGAATTTTAATAAGAAAAGCTAACATTTATTGAAGATTTACTATGTGCCAAACACTACCCTAAAGGCTTAACTTGGATTGTTTCATTTAGTCCCTCCAACAACCCTTCTGTCGTTTCCAATTTCAGGGCCCACATGCCTTGGCCCCACATACAAACCCAGGATGCTGTGACAGCCCATGAGAGGGGGAGAGGTTGCTCTGGGATGGAACAAGAAAAAAGAGGTTGTTTTGTGAGGTAGGGGGAGGGTGCTTATTCTATGAGATCAGGAAGGGAGGGAGATGAAGGAGGTTGCCATATGAGGACAGGGCCATGAGCTGAACTGTCCCTCACGACATAAGGCTGAGGGTGCTAGTAGATTCTACTCAGTAACTTTCTTCACAGTGTCAGGGCTTTAGTCTTCCCACATTCTCCCATGTCTCTCCCATTGTACTGTCCCTTATCTTGTCTCACTTTTTGACTCTGTCTTTCCAATTTGCCCTTTTTCTTTACATCTGTCTCTCCTTCTTGCTCTCTCTAGCTGTCTTTCTCTTGGTGTCTCTCAGCTCTCACTCCTCTTAACCCTCATCCCCCCGCTTTAGTCACCTCTCTGTCTCTATGCTTTGATCTTGTCATTTTTCTCTACGCTCTTCTCTCTGTCCCTTGGTCTCTCTCTCTCACCTCCCTCAATTAGGGCCACGATTCTCTTCCCCAAACTCACTTAGCCTTTTGCAATTTCTGGAAGCATTTTTTTTATCTTTGTGTCCGACTGACTCTCTACCCCTGCTGGATTCTCTCCACTCCTGCTCTCACTTCTGTGAATCTTTGTATAATCCTCTAGACTCATTGATCTCTCCTCATGTCCCTTTCATGTCCCTTGGTCTGTCTGTCTCTGCCTTTATCCCTGTGTGCGCTATCCCCACCTCCTTTTTCTTTTTTCATTTTCTCTTTCTCTCAACTCAATCTCTGTTTTCATCTTCACCCTGTTCCCTTTCCCTCTACCTTTGGTCTCTTTTTCTCCCTCAATTTCTGTTCTTTTAACTCTACCACCACCACCACATCTTTGTTCTCTCTCTACTTTCCTCCTTTTATCTTTCCTACATTTTCTTTTCTTCTAGCTTTTCTCCTAGTCCCTTCTCCTTCCTCAATTTCAGACTCTGTTCATTCATCAATTTACCCCAAAATTCAACAAATATTTATTGAGTGCCTGTGTGTCATTTGCTTTCTCTTTTTCTGATCCCTCTGCCCCCTTTCTCTTCTTTGTCTTGGCCTCTGCCTGTTTCACTAACCCATAGACTATGTCTTTGTGCCTTTTTTTCCAGCCCCACTGGGACTTGCTTTCACCTCTTTCTAGATCTGTGCTTATCCAAGAGACAGGAGCAAATTCAAAGACAGCATAATATCAGGCTGGTGGCACATAGTCTGTAGGACCTAGGCCCTACCCTTCCTTACTGCTCCCTTGATTTCCTTAAACTGATACATTTGACCTCAAGCTCCTTCTCCCTCTCTGGCTGATCCTGCTTAGGAAACACCCTGGGCCAAGCCTCAGGAGCTCTGCTCAATGACATATGTTTGCATTAGCAGGCTGAATCTTCACTTGGCTAAGACCAGCATTCTTAGAAAGATTCTTGGCCTTAAGTATTGATCAAAGGGTTAGTGGGTTGGCAGTTCTCATCCTGCCACATGAAAACACATTTCAGTGATCCTCATCATCACAGAGGTAGTCAGTGCCAGAGTGAGTCAGAATCCAGGCTTTCTGACCTCCAGTTAGCACTCTTTCCTTCACCTCTTTGCCCAGTAGTCAGTTTCCTATTTCTTCCTCTATGATGTTTTATTAGTACATGTTAACATTGGGAAAGAAGTTCTTTCCCTGGAAGGGCAATAAGAGCATCTCAGAGGCAGCAAGTTTTGGGTGGGAAGCTGAAGATGAGGATCAAAGGCCTGGCTTTTGGCCAGGCCCTCATGATGGAATCTCATCTCTTCCATGTCTTCTGCAGGACTTCGGGCTCAAGATGGTGACTGCAGCCATGCTGCTACAGTGCTGCCCAGTGCTTGCCCGGGGCCCCACAAGCCTCCTGGGCAAGGTGGTTAAGACTCACCAATTCCTGTTTGGTATTGGACACTGTCCCATCCTGGCTACCCAAGGACCAAACTGTTCTCAAATCCACCTTAAGGCAACAAAGGCTGGAGGAGGTAAGAAGAGGCTGCTAGCAAAAGGGGAGAATGTTACTGTCCTGGGGTAAAAGTTCCAAGCCATACTGGCCATCTTTGCCTAATAATTAGGAGGGTTCATGTGAAAAGTGTCAAGATAGCATGAACTGGCCCCAAAATGTACCCAGAATCTGTCTTCTGCCAGGTCCTCTAGAAAGGGTCTCATTCTCGGCCAGGCGCAGTGGCTCATGCCTGTAATCCCAGCACTTTGGGAGGCCGAGGCGGGTGGATCACGAGGTCAGGAGTTCAAGACCACTCTAGCCAAGATGGTGAAACCCCGTATCTACTAAAAATAAAAAAATTAGCCAGGCGTGGTGGTGGGCGCCTGTAATCCCAGCTGAGGCAGAGATTACAAGCGTGGGAGGCTGAGGCAGAGAATTGCTTGAACCGAGGAGGCGGAGGTTGCAGTGAGCCAAGACCGCACCACGGTACTCCAGCCTGGGCTACAGAGCGAGAATCTGTCAAAAAAAAAAAAAAAAAAAAAAAAAAAAGCACACCAACATGGCACAAGTATACATATGTAACAAAACTGCACGTTATGCACATGTACCCTACAACTTAAAGTATAATAATAATAAATAAATTTAAAAAAATAAATAAATAAAATAAAAATTTAAAAAAAAAGGAGAGGAGAGAAGAGGAGAGGGAAAAGAAAAGAAAAATTATCACTGTCATGTCCCTCACACACTATACTCCAGACATGCTGAAACTACTTAAAATTGCCTAAATCAACTACTGTGTCAAGAGTTTGTGCCTTTGCTCCTGTCAGATTACCCTCTCCTAGACCCCATACTGGAGAATCTCATACTTCTCATTTGACACTAAGCTTTAACACTAATCATCTCCTCTGCAAAGCCTGCTTAGACCTCCAAACTGTCTAATTCCAATTCTGGCTCATTTCCCCTCCCTCTTCTGGACTTCAGTAGCCCCTTTACTTCCTCTATCCCAGCACTGTTCACAATGTGTCTTCAGTGTATGCCATTCTCACCAGCTTAGGAGCTCCCCTAGCACAGGGACCAGACTCATCTATCTCTGTGTCTCTATGATAGCCTGAGATAGGGCTTTGGGGTACATTAGATCTAAGTAATTATTGTTGAGCTGAACTTATGACTAGAAATGCACCCCAAATTACTCTCTTACCTTTGCATAGATTCTCCATCTTGGGCCAAGGGCCACTGTCCCTTCATGCTGTCGGAACTCCAGGATGGGAAGAGCAAGATTGTGCAGAAGGCAGCCCCAGAAGTGCAGGAGGATGTGAAGGCTTTCAAAACAGGTTGGAGTCAAGTTCCACCTTATGCAACCTTTACTCCTAATGCTTGAACCCACTACATCACAGTCCTGAGCTAGGCTAATACAAAAGCAGCCAGTACACATCCCATGATAAGAAGTCCATTCTTTCCAGGGGAGCCATGGTAGGCAACAGTTTAGGCTGTATGCGGAAGCACACGATTCCTGACAAACGCACATGTACAGGCTCCTGAAACTTTTAGTCATTATTCTAAGATGAGCCCCTAGAATTTTGACTCCTCTTTTTCAGGTGGCTAAATTGATCCCAACAGGCTGGGGTCCCACATTTCAGCAAGACCACTCTATGAGAATATGGATTTGCATGAAAGAGAAAGAGCTGGGAGTAGGTACCTCCTTTAACCAGGGTGCAGATCCCCAGGTCAGCTTAATTAGTGCAGACCACCCAAGATAATCACCCTTGAGGTATGGCCACACTGTTGGCATCTTTCATAGGCCCCTTTGGAATATCATTAAGGACAAAAACTTCAAAATTGAAATTTAATGATGTTTAGAAGAGTAAGGTACATTTTCCTGCATCTACTTTCTAAATGCAGGACCCAGGATGGTTGCCCCAGTTACCTCACCCAAGGGAAAATCCTAGTGGAGAGAAGTATGAGTCACCTTATAGAAGGTTTCCTAACAATGTAATAGTCTCCATTCAGGGAGATAAATAGAAGCTCACCTTGGAGAAGATTTCTTCTCGCTGCAGAAGGTGTCCTTACCTTATAAACTTGAATTTTCACATGTTGCGTTGAGCTTAAAGAGGACAACACGTGCTTTCTTTTTCCCCATTCTCTTCATGGCCAATGAATCTCACATTCCATCTCAGATCTGCCTAGCTCCCTGGTCTCAGCCAGCCTAAGGAAGTCATTTTCCAGTCCCCAGGAGCAGAAGCAGATCTCTGGGAAGGTCACACACCTGATTCAGAACAATATGCCTGGTGAGTTTGCTGAGGTGGAAATAAAGGGGATCAGAATAGGGAAGGCATTCTGAAAGGGCCTCTGTCATAGTAGGGGAAACAGCACAGAAGGGCCTTGGAACCAAAGGAAATTTGAGTTTAAAATTTAATGCTGACACTTGCTGGATCTAGGTGTTTTGGCAAGTAAGACACTTTCCTTCCATGGCATTTAGTACCTACCTCAATAGGTTACCATGAGTAGAAAATAAAATTACGTTTATGGAAGTGTTTCTAATGAGGCTTCATTAAATATTAGGCTTACTCCCATTATTTCTTCTCCATGCTTCCCTCAAAAACTCTCACCCTTCATAGAGCACCTTTTCCCCATTCTTATATGTGTTTATGTTCATTTTCATAATGACATTTGCATTATTTTCTAATATAAAAGGAATATGATTCATGGTAAAATATTTTTCAACATAAACAGGAAAGTATAAGGAGGGAAATTTAAGTCATGCAGAGTTCCACCATTAAGTTTTTGCTATATTTTCTCCCAGATATTTTTCTATGGCTACACACACACACGCGCGCGCACACACACACACACACCCTCTGCTCTCTTCACCACACCCACGCTTTTGTTAGAAGTGTGATTTTATTTTACCTGGAGTTTGTTATGCTGTTTTGTTTACTTAAAAATATGTCATGGGTATAGTATGGATTCAATATCATTCAGTTAATCAAGCATCTACAATTTAAGTTGTTGTTTCCAATTTTTTGTATTCCCTCAGTTTAGATTGTAGGTTGGTTTTACATATATACAAATGTACTCAAAGAAAATGTAGAGTATTACCTTTTTCAATTTTTATTTTTACCTAATAATATCTTGCTATATATTTTGCTCTGTGCCTTTTTTTTCACTCAACAATATACTGTAGACATGCTTCCATTTGAACACATATGTATCTACCCTACTTTTCAATGCTTCCAAATATTTTGTAGCATAGATATAACAGAGATTATTTGGCTACTCCTCTATTCGGTTGCTTCCAATTTTTTCTATTACAAACAGTGGTGCAACAAACATCCTTGAATGTATCTCCTTGTGCACACAGGCAAGTGTTTCTCCAGGATAGACAATCAGAGGTGGAAATTCTTGGGATGTAAGGGTGTGTACATTTTCGATATTAATAAATATTGCCAATTAGCCCTCCAACGTGGCTGTACCAGTTATCAAGAAGGGTATCCATAGTCTCATACCCTTACCAGCACTTGATATTATCAAACTTTAAATCTTTATCAATTGATAGGTGAAATTTTGTTCTCCCAGTTTTCTTTTTCCTGATTAATAATATTTTTCTACATTTATTCTATGTCCATTTTTCTACTGGGTTGAAATTTTTCATGTTAATTTTTCAGAGATTATATAATAAATTCTGAGTATCAATCATTTGTCTGTTAATTATGCTGCAAATATTTCTCTAGATATGTCAGTATGTGCATTTTAAAAACATTTGATACATATTTCCAAACATCTCTGCAGCAAGGATGTTGCCAATTTGCACCTCCAGCAGCCATATAAATTGCTGTCTGCAACATGATTTCTGTCTCATGTAAAGAGTTCTGGAGTTTAACAAGCCCTTTGGCAAACATTATTTCAATTTATCCTAGAAATAAAGTTACCCCATCTTGTAGTGGTAATGGTTAAAGAAGTGGGCTCTGAGTTACTTACTTGATGAGCACTTAATTGCTGCATGACCCTGGTCAAGTTACCTAACACTTAATGCCCCAGTTCCCTCATCTGTAAAATGGAGATACTAATAGAACTGTCCTTGGAGTATTGTTGTGAGGAATAAATTAAATATTTATAAAGTTCCTAGGAAAGAACTTACATGTATTAGGCATTCATTAAATGTTAGCTATAATAATATAATTGAATATTAGCTGTCTTTATTAGTATTATTATGACTACTAATACTATAGCAGTAATAATACTACTATTACGATGTGCCATTTATTAGTTTGAATATATTACATGTTGTTGGTTGTCAGATGCTCACAATTCTCCAAGGAAAGTATTATTAGCCTCATTCTACAAATAAAGAAATTTAAAGTAAGAAAGAAGATTCATGACTTGTTCAAGGCCACACCGCTAGGAAGTGGCAAAGAGACTGCTAGAAACAAGATCTGTTGATACTCCTTCCACTGAGACTGAAAGTAGTGATTCTAGTAAGGAGGCTGCCACACCAACCCGGGAAGAGAGATGAGGCCATAAAAAAGTCTAAATGAATGTGTGAATGAACTACTGAGTGAAGGAGTGAATGAGTAAGCAAAAGGATGGCTGAATGAATAGTAGAGAGTTAATGTGGTCCAATAAGTCAATGACTGAGCACATAAATGAATATGTGGAAAAAGAGTTGGAGAACTCAAAATCAGCAACATCGGTAAAATACAGACTAGCCAGGAAGAGACTTAAAATGAATTCTTTTCATCCTCATATCTGCTCCTGCAGGAAACTATGTCTTCAGTTATGACCAGTTTTTCAGGGACAAGATCATGGAGAAGAAACAGGATCACACCTACCGTGTGTTCAAGACTGTGAACCGCTGGGCTGATGCATATCCCTTTGCCCAACATCTCTCTGAGGCATCTGTGGCCTCAAAGGATGTGTCCATCTGGTGTAGTAATGATTACCTGGGCATGAGCCGACACCCTCAGGTCTTGCAAGCTACACGGTGAGTAGTAGGCTCTCAGCCATCAGCAGTGGCCAGAGGAGATGAAAAACCACACACAGGAAAAAAAAAAAAAAAAAAAAAAAAAAAAAAAAAAGCAGAACTGGCAGTGGAAACCTGGGTTCTACCACCACGTTTTTGTCCGAGGTCCTCCACCATATCTATTCCTTGGATATGAACTAAGTCAACACACCATGTTTCCCAAACTCTTGGGTGTCCAATGCTATGGAGGGGAAGGACGGGAGACCAGGCAAGGCCCACTCTGCCTGAGTTTTTAATCTAGCTGCAGAATTAGTATTGCCAGAGATGGAGTGTGACCTCCTCTAGGTCTTCCAAACTACTCAAGCTCAACCTAGCTTCTCCCTCTCTCCCTGAGTACCTCCAGTCCTAGAAGGAAGGTACATGTCTCCCTATCCTCCCCATCCTTCCCTCTACTTTGTCTCACAGGATACAGTGTATATAGGATCACTAATTCAACATTGACTCCCATCAAGGAAGGGACACCTACCCAGTTCCTCGATGCCTGCCATGTTTTTTTTTCTCCCTTTCTCCTGGCCAGGGAGACCCTGCAGCGTCATGGTGCTGGAGCTGGTGGCACCCGCAACATCTCAGGCACCAGTAAGTTTCATGTGGAGCTTGAGCAGGAGCTGGCTGAGCTGCACCAGAAGGACTCAGCCCTGCTCTTCTCCTCCTGCTTTGTGGCCAATGACTCTACTCTCTTCACCTTGGCCAAGATCCTGCCCGGTAAGCCTGAGGCCTGAGCTTTGTTCAGGGCTGGTATCCTGCAATACAGCATCCAGTTTCACTGGTTCCATCACTCCTCCCCTGTATTTGGAGTTCCCACTCCCATCGTTCTTCCTTCTTATCCACCTTGCATATCCTCAACACTGGATAATTACATCCCTCTGCTTTCTCCCTTTCTGCACCTAGAGAGGACCACTACTGGGGAACATTACCCAACCTCACAGAAGGGAAACACTATAAATTCATCACCTCCCAACTCAACTGGGCTCTTAACACACATAAATAGTTATTTTATGTCTCCACAGGAGTTTTTCAAACTTTTTCTCCTCTTCTAAAACCTCTGACTACCTTCTCATTCACACTTAGCAAATAATCTCACATCTTACTTCACAATAAAAACAGAAGCCCCAGACAGAGAATCCTTATTTATTGCCACCAAACCTACAAACTTATCTAATTGTTCATCTAGCCTTGCCTCATTCTTTCCTTTTACAATGGAAGACATATCTCTCCTTCTGCCTAAAGCCAATCCCTTCACTTGTACACTGGTTCCCATATTCCCAGTCTCCTACTTTCTAGTCTATAATGTCCTCACCTCATCTGCCTTGTTGTCCTTCTGCCATGGCCCAATCCAGAATGAATACAACTCTCCATCTTCACTGTATCAATTCTGGGCTCATACAGTTGCTCAGACAGGAGTCACTAAAAATTCATAGTCTTAATTTCTACTGGGTTCTCCATGCTCTCTGGCAATCCCATTTCCCTGGTCAGTTCCCCAAGTTTATGGTGCAGTTTTGCCAAACCACCATTATCCTCAGCCTTCCTGCACCCCCTCCTCCCCATCTCCCTCAGCAGATGACTTCATGTTCTACTACATTCAAAATAGAAGACACCAGACAGCAATGTCCTTGACTCCCAGCCACATAGCACCTACAAATTCATAAGCATCTTCACATGTCCTCTCCTCACTCCTTCTCTTCTGTTATAGTGGAAGAAGTATCCTTTTTCTTGTGACTAATCCTTCCACTGTTGCTCTGTGCCCCATTCCTCTCTACCACCTTAGGAATCTTGACCTATTGGCTCTCTCCTCCTCTCCTGTATCTTCAGCCTCCCCCTCTCTTTAAACATGTTTTCAGGTCTCTTGCATCTTATAAAAAAACATTGCTTCAACCCCTCATCACTATCTAGCTACTGCCCTCTTTCCTCCTTGTAACAGGCAAACTGCTTGAGAGAAGTCTCCGCTCTATCTAATTCCTCACCTCCTGCTGATTCTTCAGCACAGCAAAAATATTACCACCACTTCTCAGAAACTTTTTTTGAGTTCACGCATAAGCCCCAACTAAACTCAACATCTTTAAGATTTTTTTGTCCATCCCCTCCTCAACCATTAGAATTCAACTTCTTTCCATCTCTACTGCCAGCATCCTAGTCTGATCCAACATCATTTTTTAAAGAAAATTTTACCTTTGCCCTCTGATAATCTATTCTTTACAGCAGTCAGAATTTTTTTTAATGCAAAACTGTGTTTGTTGCCCACCACCTCCACCCTGGTCAAAACCCTTAGGTGGACCCACATTCCCCCGGGACCAAATCCAAATTTCTTATCACAGCTTCTAAAGTTCTCAATAATCTGGCTTCTATATATCTCTTCAGTCTCACCTTTTTGCATCCCTCCTCTCACTATTTCATTCAGTAATACATTCATTCATATGCTCATTCGCTTACTTATAAATCAGTCATCCGTTTATTTATCCATTCATTTAATAAATGTTTACTTAGCATCTACTATGTGCTTACGCTTATACTGTACACCAGAGACAGAGAGATAATAAGACGTTTTTGCTCCCATGCAACTCCCAGTCTGCTTGTCTTTCAAGCCATGTTCTCCAGAAAGCCATAACTCATTTTCTCAGGTGGAAGTTATCCCTTACTCTTATAAAAAGGCCACAGTTCCTTGATGGCAGTGCAGTTAGTGGCAGGGGTTGGGGAGGTCCAGGAATCGACTCCCTCTACCAATTTCACATGCCCACCTGCCCCACCAGGATTGCCCAGTAAAAAGCCCTGCATTCTTCAAATCTTTCTGGACCTTAGCTCTCTCACTTGTATAGTAAAGCAGATGAATTCTATGATCACTAACAGACCTGCCAGCTCTGACATGCCATGAGCTTGTGATTCCAACAGTAAAAGCCTGATAAATATCCATCCCTGTAACCACAAACAGATGGAACCACAAGCTACCTGGAACGGATGGAATTTCATCTAGACTAGGAAGAATCTAGCATCAGTCCAAGCCAACAAGCATTCCCTGGGGTAATCCCTTTTCCAAGTCTTGATCCTATATGTTGAGGAGAAGGAAAACAGGTCCTGTCCTCAAAGAACTCTGAAGCTTCTTGGGAAATTAAATGTTCTTCCATCCTAAGGCAGTCAGAGGCTAGACCAGGGTTACAAATGACCGGAGGGAAGGATGTAGGGGTTAGAATTTGGGAACAGTGAAGACCTTCTAAGGGAGAAAGAAGTGTCACAAACGTTCCCAGAGAAGGAAGAAGCAGAGCAAGGTCTTCGAAGAGAAGAAAGGGTTGGCCCTTTTCTTTGCCAGGTCAAACCTGAAGGTTGAAGTGGGAGTACTGGGACAGAAGCTTAAGGATTATGTATCTGCTTCCTCAGGGTGTGAGATTTACTCAGACGCAGGCAACCATGCGTCCATGATCCAAGGTATCCGTAACAGTGGAGCAGCCAAGTTTGTCTTCAGGCACAATGACCCTGACCACCTAAAGAAACTTCTAGAGAAGTCCAACCCTAAGATACCCAAAATTGTGGCCTTTGAGACTGTCCACTCCATGGATGGTATGTATATGTGTGAGTGTATGTTTACTAGTGTTGGTCTCACAAAAATCATGATGATGATAACATTATAACAGCTAATATTTATAGAGTGTTTATTATGTGCCACGCAAAATTATTAGTATTTTACATGTATTCACTTAATTTTCTGAACAATTCTATGAGATAGGTGTTATTATTATTTTGATTTTTTACATGAGGAAACTGAGACATAAGAGTAATTTGTCCAGGCCGGGTGTGGTGGCTCAAGCCTGTAATCCCAGCACTTTGGGAGGCTGAGATGGGCGGATCACAAGGTCAGGAGATCGAGACTATCCTGGCTAACACGGTGAAACCCCGTCTCTACTAAAAAAATACAAAAAAAACTAGCCGGGCGAGGTGGCAGGCGCCTGTAGTCCCAGCTACTCGGGAGGCTGAGGCAGGAGAATGGCATAAACCCGGGAGGCGGAGCTTGCAGTGAGCTGAGATCCGGCCACTGCACTTCAGCCTGGGCGACAAAGCGAGACTCCGTCTCAAAAAAAAAAAAAAAAAAGAGTAATTTGTCCAAGGTCACACAGCTAGTAAATGCCAAAGAATGAAGACAGCTATTACATTCATCTTATAGGTAAAGAAACTAAAGTTCAGAGTTGGCATCCAATTCATCTTGAGTGGCTCAGCAAATTGGCGCTAAAGTATTTGCACCCTAACACATATAACTCCAATTCCTCAAGTAACACTTCTCTTGTTAGAAATGATATGTAAATCAACAATCCCAGTGTTTGGTTTTTATGAAGGAAATTCCAAAAACCATTGCCCAGGATTTTTTTCAAGGTCCAGTATGAAGCATTGGGGTCAAAACAGGTTTTCAAGTCAGAGAGACCTGGGTTCAAATCCCACCTTTGACAATTACTGGCTATGACCATGGGTAACTCTTTAACTGTCTAAACCTCAATTTTCCCAAAGGTAAAATATCTGGCTGTAAGAATTAGAGATGATAGAAACCATTCTAGTTATTATGCTTTTGTAGAAATAAATGATCTTCACACTCCTACCTCCTTTCTTTGCTCAATTGAAACAATGTCCAAAGCTTTCTATTACTGGCCCCATTATGTAGAAATCATGTGTTTTAGTTATCCCTTTATGGATTTATTTAAGGGAAGAGGTCAACTCATTTCAGTTTGTCCCTTTTCCAACTGAAACAAGAGTCCATAGTATTCCCTGATTTAGCTATCTTAAGTGGCATGTAATGACTATACACACAGGCTCTAAAACTAGACTATCCATGTTCAAATCCTAGTCTGACCATTTACTGGCTTGGGCAAGCTTCTTAATTGCTCTGTGTCTCAGTTCTCAGTTGCTTATTTGCAAAATGTAAGTGATAATAATTAAATATAAGTATGCAAATTAAATGAGTTAATATATGTAAGGAACTTACTATTATGCCCACTCCCACATTTCTAACACTAGCAATAAAGTAAAACTATCCTATTCCTTTTGTATATTTCTACCTGAGACTATTCAAATTCATTATTTCTCTAGTGGAAACTATGTTGGTACCATTCTACCTCATTACATTTGCAAATAAATTGTTCTTTATTTACCTATTTTTGGGGTGCAAACTGCCCAAACTGTTGATCCTTAGGCTGAATCTCTCCCATTGAAATGATGCTTGAACCATCACACTGTCATTCGTCTCAGGTTCTACCTTCTGTAGTTGACTCCCCTCAGGTTGTCCTACCAATTGCTCACATTTTAAAATCCTGGCTTGGAACCCCTATTTCCACCTGAAGATGTTTTTTCTGTATTACAACTCCTTGTACCTCAGCAGTTTCCAGGGAGTACAGAGGGATACACACAGATTGCAGGAAAAGAAACAAAAGAGGCAGAGAGAGGCTGAACATGGCAGAAACAGGAAAATAGATATTGTCAGAATGAAGTAAAAATAGAAAGACAAAGAGTCAAACCTTGATCCCAGGCTGGGGAACACACACGCATGCACACACACACACATACACACACACACACACACACACACATACAGAGAGAGAGAGAAAGAGAGAGAAGGCAGGGATGAGATACAGGCAATCAACCCATAAACAGAGGTTTGGAATAGTTGTAAATGAAGGTGCACATCCTCCTTCCTCTCTACAACACCCTTTTCCAACCCACAGTAGGCATCTCCACGCTGGAAATGGAGCTGGGGAAGGGTTATGATGTCCTACCTCTATCCCTTGGCTTTGCTCAGGTGCCATCTGTCCCCTCGAGGAGTTGTGTGATGTGTCCCACCAGTATGGGGCCCTGACCTTCGTGGATGAGGTCCATGCTGTAGGACTGTATGGGTCCCGGGGCGCTGGGATTGGGGAGCGTGATGGAATTATGCATAAGATTGACATCATCTCTGGAACTCTTGGTAAGTGAATGTTTTGGGCCTTCTTATATACCCTGCAGAGATGAGGCCCCTACAAAATTCTCTTCTCCCTCCTCCCCAAAGCTATAGGGGTTGTTTGGACAGAATTCACAGCCCCAGGCCACTGCCCTCCTGGACTCCCTCTCTCCACTCGCATCCCACTGCAGAGTTGATGAGAAAGTCTAGGAGAGTTTTTTGAAAAGACCTTGAACTAGGCCAAATAGTTAGATTCAACTTGAGTATGTGAAGAGCTGTGTTTCTAAATCCCTCCCCCACCCCAGCCCCAAGCTTCATCTTAGCTCCACTCCTGACCCTATCCAGCTAAAGGTCCCCACCCAGCTCCTACCTATCTAGTCATTGCATATGGCGAGACTTGAAAGTCCTATCTCAAAGCAGCAGAATTATCAGTTCTGACTGCCCTGTCATGGACAGATGAGCAGAGGCCTGGGAAGACAGCCTGGAGCCCCATCTTCGGTGCACCCCCTTGGGTTATCTGGCACATGATCCTGTTCCTCTGGGACTGATTACGGGATCTGTGTATATCTTCTTACTTTCTGTCTCCAGGCAAGGCCTTTGGCTGTGTGGGTGGCTACATCGCCAGCACCCGTGACTTGGTGGACATGGTGCGCTCCTATGCTGCAGGCTTCATCTTTACCACTTCTCTGCCCCCCATGGTGCTCTCTGGAGCTCTAGAATCTGTGCGGCTGCTCAAGGGAGAGGAGGGCCAAGCCCTGAGGCGAGCCCACCAGCGCAACGTCAAGCACATGCGCCAGCTACTCATGGACAGGGGCCTTCCTGTCATCCCCTGCCCCAGCCACATCATCCCCATCCGGGTGAGAGCCCCACCCTGCCCATTGCCCTCTCTACCTATTTCTTCTGGGAGCCTCCCCACTCCCAACACACCTGTTTCTGTCTTCAATTACTTGCTTTCCTGCTAACCATTCCCCTTATTGCCAGCTTTGTTTCCCTTTTTGAAAACTTATCAGCCATTTTGGATTAACCAGTCTTTTCCTTGCATCAGCCATTACCTCATGCTTATTAGATTATCCTAACCCTAACAATAGCGAGTGTTCACAGCCTATAATTCAGAGTTTTTCAAACTGAATCAAGACAATTAATGGGTCACAAAATCAGCTTAGTGGGTTATCATTAGCATTAAAAAAAAAGAAAAGAAATAGAATAGAAAATGTTGGAGTACAGCACACATACTAAGGCTATCAATTTGTGAAAAATTTGTATTCGTTTTGTGTATGTGCATATATACATGTATGCGTATGTGTGCGTTTATGATCATGGTGTAAAATGTACTTCTTATTGAGAATTGAGGGCAGAAAAATAAAATCAAAAGCCATAGTACTAGCTGCTACTTTGGATCCTCAATATAAGCGTTTACTGCCTTTAAAAATGAACTGCTACTTCTTTCTTAAATGACATGTATTCGTGTGAGTCAGTAAGCCAGGGCAGGGAAAGGACACTTATTTGTGACAATTTTGTGGATGAGAAATAGTCACTGCTTTTTAGACTAACCTAGTATTTCCTTTAAACACTCATTTTATGAATTAATTTAGTGACAGCACCCCATAATTGGCTTGGGGGGTTCTGGAATTGGCTTGTGGGGGGCATCTTCTCACCCAGAACTATCCTAAACTAGGATATTAGCTAAGTAAAATCAGTGTGCTTGCTCTGCAAACAGCTTCCAAATAGGGCTCCTGGTACCACCACTGCTCCATCCTTTTCAAATCAAATTGCTAGCTCTGAGCTCCTCCTTGATAGAAATTCTGGAGCTGCCACTAAGCCCCTAATGAAAAAAAAAATCTATCCCAAAATTCAGCGATGTTCCCTGATCTAGTTCCCTCCATCTGCTTAATGGATGGTGGAGCCAGGGTGGCAGGTACTGATAAGCCTTTCTCCTGAGTCCAGGTGGGCAATGCAGCACTCAACAGCAAGCTCTGTGATCTCCTGCTCTCCAAGCATGGCATCTATGTGCAGGCCATCAACTACCCAACTGTCCCCCGGGGTGAAGAGCTCCTGCGCCTGGCACCCTCCCCCCACCACAGCCCTCAGATGATGGAAGATTGTGTGGGTAAGTTCTCAACATGGGTGCCTACAGGACCTCCCTCCCCTCAGGCCCAGGATCTGAAAGAGAAGCTGAGAGGACAGAGACCATTCAGTTTACAAAATATTTCTGGAACATCTAATGTGTGCCAGCACCTATACTAGGGTCACAAATAAATGAGAAGCAGCCCCTACACTCGTAGGGGTCCAGTTTGGTTGGGGATACCATAGTGGACACAAACAATGACATTAAGGGATGATCAAAGTTCCACAAGGCAGTGCATGGTAGAGTTGTTGGAGCAGAGAGGAGGGGCCTGACTCTGCTTGAGGGATCCAAGACAGGCTTCCTAGTAGAGGTGACACCTGAGCTGAGTCTTGCAAAGTGAGTGGCATTAAAACAAAGAGGGCATGGAAGAAGTATTCTTAGCAGAGGGAAGAGCATGAAGAAAGGTGAGGAGAATGAGAAGCAGCCAGGGATATATCAAGAACAATAAGCAGGTGGTATTGGAATGTAGGGTCATAGGAATGGAGTGGGGCAGGGGAGTATCAATCTGTAAGTCTACAAAGACAATACGAGATAGGGACTGAATTGAGAGGCTTGTAGAGCTGAGTAGTTTGAGATTTAGCCTGAAAATGCCAGTTTAGTCAGTTCACCTAATGTTTGCTGGATTTCTTTTGGGTAGTTTTTTTGTTTGTTTGTTTGTTTTTTGTTTTTTGTTTTTTGTTTTTTTGAGACAGAGTCTGGCTCTGTAGCCCAGGTTGGAGTACAGTGACATGATCTTGGCTCACTGCTACCTCTGCCTCCTGGGTCCTGGTTCAAGTAATTCTCCTGCCTCAGCCTCCCAAGTAGCTGGGATTATAGGCACGTGCCACCATGCCCAGCTAATTTTTGTATTTTTAGTAGAGATGGGGTTTCACCATGTTGGCCAGGCTGGTCTTGAACTCCTGACCTCATAATCCACCTGCCTAGGCCTCCCAAAGTGCTGGGATTACAGGCGTGAGCCACCAGGCCCCGCCTGGGTAGTTTTTAATGCAGGGCCTGACGTTGAGCAGGTGCTCATTCTAGGCCTGTTGGACGAAAGACATGTAGGCAGTTGATGGTCTAGCAGAGGAGCCAGATATAGATGGTACTGGTCCAGTATGACGAGCTCCACTATTCTGGGAGCTAGAGGGAGTGAGCACATTATGGCTAGAGAGGGTGAGAAGGATGAAATTGGAGAGGCTTTGTGAGTAAGGAAGTTTTTATGATGCATGTTGAAGTACATGTGAATATGTTGTAAGAATATTCCAGAATAAGGGAATTCCATGAGCAATGACCTAGAGATAGGAAAGCAGGGGGTATGTATTGACAACATCATTCTGTTTGTCTGAAGCATGGGCAGTATGAGAATTCACGGAAGACAAGCTAGGTAGGGGCCATTCATTCATTCATTCAAAAACATTAAATAATGCTGGCTAACATTAAGTACTTACCATGTGCCAAGCACTGTTCTAAACACTTTACACATATTAACTCATCTAATCCCCACAGCAACCTCAAGAGTTAGAGATCCTCTTATCATTTCCATTTTGTACATGTGGAAGTTGAGGCACAAAAATATATAGTCGCTGATCCAAGGTCACACACCTTCTAAGTTGCAACTGGGAGGTCTTTCTCTACCTCCATGGTCATAACTGCTAGGTCTACCACCTCTCTGAGCTGATGACCCAGACTCCTGGGCCTTTTGTTCAGTATTCTCTATTGCTCCGGGCTTCAATTGTAGAGCTCAGTATTCTTGGTTCTCTGAATGTCCACTTAGGCTAGGCTTTTGTAAGAATATATGAGAGGCATCCACAATGGCTCCACCAGTCCCTAAGTTCCACAGCCAATCCATCCTGAAATCCTGCAAAAGTTCTCTATAATCTCTCTCAAACCTATTTGCTTTTCTCCCTTGCCACTTCTTCAATCCATGTCAACATGATTTTTTCCTAATTTCTCTGCTTCTCTCTTGCTCCTCTCAAATCCTTTCTCGATGCTGACCACCAGAGGGATTTTTCTAAAAACCTGACTATATTGCTCCCTTGCTTAAACCCCTTCATGTTTCCCTCTAGACTCTAAAGCAGTGGCCTCCAAGGTGAGGTATGCAAAATGGTTACAGGGTGAAGGAGCAGAATATGTATTAGAATTTTATGTTTTTTTAATCTTAAAAATAGGAAATCAAGCATTACTGATACTGATCTTTAATATACAGACTGACAATTATACATATATATAATACATAAACAAATATACAGAGATTGGAGGTACATGCTAAAACATTTGTACTGATAGCGATGTATAGTCCAAAATTTGGAAACCATTGACATACAGGACAGAGTTGAAGCTCTTCAGCATAGCATTTAATGCCTTCCACATGGTGATCTCTATGCCCTCACCTCCTCCCCACATGCATTTTATTTTTTCAGCTACACTGAATGACTTGTCGTTCCCTCATTTTTCTCTGCTCTCTTACCTCTGGGACTTTGCTCGTGCTGCTCTCTTTTGATTGGAATGCCCTCCCTCACACTTTCCTCTGGCTTACTTTCCTTCATCTTCTAGACTTAACTTAGGCATTCTTTCAACAAATATGTATTGAGTACCAACTGTGTGCTAGACACTGTTCTAGGCACTGAGGATGCAGTAGCAAACAAATCAGACACAAAATTCCTACCCTCTGGAGCTTACATTCTAGTGGAAGGGGATAGTTAAAAAATTTACTAAAAATAAGCAAATTAAATAGCACGTTAGTCCTAAGTGCTATGGGGAAAAATAAAGCAGGATAAGGAGAATGGGATAAGGGGGCAGGGGCGAGTTCAGAGAAGGGTCATAGTATTAGAGTGGCAAGGGTAGAAGACGCTGAGGTGAAACTTGAGCAAAGATTTGAAGGAGGTGGAGTTAGTGAGGCAGATATCTAAGGGAATGACATCCCGGGCAGAGGGAACATCCTGAGGCAGGGAAGACACAGGAATATTCCTTTTATATTTGAGGAACAGTAAGAAGATGGGTATGGGTGGAATGGTATAAGTGGGAGACAGAAAAATTGAGTACACAGAGGCAATGTGGGACCAGATTGTATAGGGTATGGTAGGTCATCAGAAGGATTTTGGCTTTTACTCTGAGAACCCTTGAAAGGATTTGAGCACAGGACTGATATATCTGACTCAGGTTTTAACAAAATTGCTCCAACTTCTATGTAGAGAATACACTAAAAGGGAGCAAGGCTGGAAGCAGGGAGACCCAAGAGTGGGCTACAGTAATATCCCAGGTGAGAGATGATGGTAGCTCAGACTTGATCATAATGAAGGCAATAAGAAGTGGTCAGAGTTTGAAGGTAGAGCCAATGGTCTTTGCTGTTAGATGGGATATAGGGTAAGAGAGAAAGAGAAAAATAAAGGATAATTCCAAAATTTTTGAACTGAGCAACTGGAATTGCCATCCACTGAGATGGGAAAAGTTGAAAGTAGAATAGCTTGGTGGAAAGTAGGGACATGAGTAGCTCAGTTGTACTTATAAGTTAGAAATGCATACTAGACATCTAGGTGGAGATGGAGAAAAGCCATTGATATACAAGATTGGAAACCAGTAGAGAGGCGTGAGCTGGAGATTAAAATTTCTGAACCATCAGCATATAGGTGGTCTTTAAAGTCATGTGACTAGACAAGATCAACAAGGGCATGAACACAGAAAAGGCCAAGAACAGAGCCCCGGAACATACCTGGGGTACTTCCTCCAGCTAGGTCAGGTTCCCATCTCTGGGTTTTCACATCCCCAGGTGGACGCCCTACCCCAGGTTTCCTGGTCATAGCACCAATGACACAGTATGGTTACTGTCATTATCACTGTCCTCATAGGGCTTGGAGTTCCCAAGCAGATAGTCATTCTTGGGCCACAGCACATCCTATACTTAGGGAGTGGTCCAGGCCAGGACAGTATGGCTTCAAATTGTGTCAAAGGAGAGCTTCCCAACCTTTTATTATATCCCAGCATCCAGATACAAATGGTAATACTCACGGCACACACAGGAGCAAACAGAGTAGGCTACTTCTGGCCCTGAGGTATCTTGAAGGGTTGAGGGGGATCAATATCTTGGTGCGTCTATACTAGATTTGGAAGATCTAGTCTAACTCATTCTTTCCCTCCCCTCCCCCAACCACCTTCAGAGAAGCTGCTGCTGGCTTGGACTGAGGTGGGGATGCCCCTCCAGGATGTGTCTGTGGCTGCCTGCAATTTCTGTCGCCGTCCTGTACACTTCGAGCTCATGAGTGAGTGGGAACGTTCCTACTTCGGGAATATGGGGCCCCAGTATGTCACCACCTATGCCTGAGAAGCCAACTGCCTAGGATTCACACCCCACCTGCACTTCACTTGGGTCCAGGCCTCCTCTGTCTTCTGCTTTGTTGTGTGCCTCTAGCTGAATTGAGCCTAAAAATAAAGCACAAACTGCAGCATGTGTAGCCTTTTATTGGACAGGGAACAGACAAATGCACTCTACCTGACTCCCTCAGACAAGTGGCAGATCTGAGGAAACCATAGGTCACTTGTTGGTCACCATTCCATTTTACCAACAGGGAAACAGAATGAGAAAGAGGAAAGAAATGCCCAAAATCTACACAGTGAGTTGCACAGAGCCGGGATACTAAGCAGATTTATTTGAAATGGCTCTTCTCCAATGGTTTCAATAAAAATCCAGGGATTGACTCTTCACTGGTAATCTGGGCCCTGGAAATCTGGGCCCAGGGTAGCCCCTGAAGCCAGGAGATGAGTCAGCCCTAACCAAATTCCCTAGAAAGGAGTGGTTCCCCAAAAGCAGAGGTATTTTCCAGAAGGGGATATGGATGTCTTCCTCAATCCATTATCCTCTCTCCCTCCCACGGCATCCCACAGAACAGGATTTACCAGTCCATTTTTTTTTTTTTTTTTTTTTTGAGACCTCATTTTGCTGGTTGCCCAGGCTGGAGTTAAACAGCACGATCTCAGCTCACTGCAACCTCCGCCTCACAGGTACAAGCTATTCTCCTGTTTCAGTCTCCTAGGTAGCTTGGATTACAGGCACGTGCCACCACACCTAGCTAATTTTTTTGTATTTAGTAGAGACAGGGTTTCACCATGTTAGGCTGGTTGTGAACTCCTGACTTCAGGTGATCCACCCACCTCGGCCTCCCAAAGTGCTGGGATTACAGGCGTGTGCCACTGCGCCCATTCTACCAGTCCCATTTTCACAAGTGAGAAGAGGCTTGGCTAGAGCAAGCACTGTGTTCAAAGCAATGCTTCCACTTTCCAGGTCACAGTATACGGGAAACATTTCCATGGCACACTTAGGGGCACTAATGATACTACTTGCTAAGCAAGTGATCTTCCCTGAGACTTGTGTGATCTCAGGCCCTGCCTGGCAATGCTGAGGGCTGAGGACCCTATTTCTTTCAACTCTGCAATCCACTGGGGCAGCTGTGGGGCACACTAGTTGGGAAGCTCTGGTTTAAGGCTACATAGCCCACCTCCCTTGCTGATTTAACCGCAGCAGTACAGTAAACTCCTACAACTAAGCAGAGAACTCTTTATGGTGAGCACTGCTCCTCACTCCTCACTATTCCCTCCTCCCTCCTCCCCTTTCCCTGGGAATTATATTATTGGGCTACAGCCAGCTGGCAAACCCAGTATTGAGATAGCTTCTTTGACTCAACTTTATGGAGTACATTCACAATGTCCACTCAAAGTGAAACCCTGAAACAAATACACAGACTTTATTTATGCACAAATACATTTTCCAGCAAAGACAGAAGTGATTTAAAATCACACAACTTCCCGGGGCAGCCAGTGTCTGTGTACTTCAGACAGGAAGGTGGAAAGTGGTGTAGCGGGCTGGGTCACAGCATTAAGGTGCAAAAAGCTCACCAACAAGGAGCTAGGTAGGAAGGTCAGTGAGGAAGAGAGGGCTAAGAAGAGGAAGAGAAGGGTAGGAGACTTTCGGGGAGAAGCAGGAGGCAGCTCAGGGAAGGGGAGCTGGCCTCAGATCACGTGCAGGGGTGACTATGCCAGACGTCCCCAGGCCTCCATTGGTTCAGCTGGGCCTGCTCCAGAGGAAGAAGTTGCACCGGGAGGAGGGGTCAGTGGGAGGACCCCGGGGCCTGGCACACATATAGAAGCGGCGGCCCAGGTTGGGTCCTGGCTTCTTCACAGTACGCATCACACATGGCTCCCTGTGGCCCCCACAGAGGGGTGTGCGCAAGGGCCCCGCCAGCACAGACTTCCAGAATGAGGTCCGTACCTCCTTCTCATCTTTGGCTTCTGAAGCCTTGGCCCGCCCCTTCACCACTTTGGCCACTGCCTCCTCTTCTGGAGTCTTCGGGGTCATGAGGGCGCTCATCAGTGGTGGGCTAGGCAGTTTTATGTCAGCAGAGGCTTGGGGACAGTTAGGGGAGGGCTGAAAGTAGCTCTTCAGGTTTTTCTGGCCTCTGCCAGAGCCAGCCTGACTAGGCCGAGGCCTGGTTGAGTGCACTTGGGCTTTGTTTTGGCACGTCTGTACCCGGGTTTGACTGTTGTGCTGCAGCGCCGACTGCTCCAACAGAGGACTTTGTTCGAGAGGAACTAGGAAGCGAAGGATCTTGAGCTGGGTGCCTGCAAACTCAGGGAGGAAGCGGGTGCACAGAGGTGGGCACTGTTTTGCGGGTACAGAGGACACGCTCAAGACTGCACCCACAGGGCAGTGGTCAGAGCCCATCACCTCAGGCAGCAGGAAAGAGGCCCGAAAGGTGTCTATGACCAGGGTCCTGTCCCCTAGCACATAGTCAAGCCGGGAGCCATAGTTGAGATGGCGGGCGCCGGTCACTGCTGACCAGCAGGTGAAGGCCCCCTCCTGCTTTGGTTGGAAGCAGCGGTAGCTATCGATGAAGGGCCCTACATGAGAGGCAGACTGGCACCCCAAGTTACTGAGCAAGCTGTCCATCCACTTGCGCCCTGGGTCCTCTTCAAAGCATTCCTAGGTGAGGAGGAAAGGGGGTTGGAAGAGAGAGAGACAGAACTAGATACCTAGAACTGGAAGGGACTTAGACTAACTGCTGCATTTTGCAAATAAGAAAATTTGGTTGTCCCAAGAGGACTACTGCTGAAGGTCACACAGTCCAGAATTGGCAGAGCTGGGATTCTGATTCTCATCCTTACTGATTTAAAAGACCATGCTTGTTTTTCCCTCTGCACAAGCTTGCATTTATCTTGCATTGGTCCATCAATGGCAAATCTGAAAGTTTGTTTAATCAGAGCAACTCCCAGAACTGCTTTTTAAAACGATGGAAAACAGGAAGTTAAAAAAGTGTTTGCCTCTAGGAAGCAGGGCTGGGGTTAAGAGTTAGGAAGACTGTCAGCTTCTTCCTTTAAACCCTCTGGCACTATTTGGTTTATCTACTGTGTCAAAGCCCTCAATGACCATTCCTACCTTCTGAGCTGAGGACCTGCAAGGATCCAGGTCTGAATACTTCCTTAGGCTCTGATCCCCAATCCATCATCCATCAGTCCATCCATTCACTCCACCTAACCACCCACTGATTCAATGCAAGGAATGTTCATGGAATACCTATTATGTGCCAAGCATGATGCCAGGGACAAAGTAAGAACCTGATCTACTCCTGGGGACCAAGGAGGCTTCCTTTCGAGAAGTGATCTGGAGGGGAGGTGTGCGGGCTGAGCAAGAGTAACCTAGGTGGAGGGTGCTCCTAACTTTAAGAACAGTCTCTGTGCTGGGAGTGTGGAGGGAGTGTGCTGCATACCCAAAAGACTTGAGGAAAGACCAGACTTGAGACCAGAATACCAGCAGGAAATGGCTGCCATAGTCACACAAGCAAGATGATGGTCACTTGGGCTAGGGTGGGTGCCAGAGGAGACAGAAACATGAAATTATGAGATGATTTGTAGCTAGAATCAACAGTACTTGCAGACTAACTGAATGTGGGAAGCGGAGTAAGAAAGAAAGACAATACTAGCACAATTCCCAGGCTTTAAGTTGAAGCAACCAAGGGGATGATGGTGCCATTTAGAGAAATGACAAGACTAAAAGAGCAAGCCTGGTGGAAAGTGGATATGTTCTGCTATTTTGGAAAGACTGTAAGTCATCTTAGCTGGCACTATTAGTTCTCTTTCCCTGGAGGAGAAAATGAAGGAGGTATACATGAGAGATCTAGGCTACCTCTGAACTAAGTAGAGAAGGCATAAAGGTGTATGATGCTATCACAGGAATCTGAAAGAACACACTGAATGAATGTGTAAGAGGAATGAGGCAGGGAGGGACTGAAGGCTCACACTTTGTAGCATTCTCTCTGCTCCCCACCACACCACCACCACCATTCTCTCGCTTCTGCTCATTTCCCAGCTGGGAGCCATATCTACATTTATGTAGCTCTTCTGCAAATTAATCAAGGAATATTCCCACGGTCCTTCTCTAAGCCAAACCCAGTGCTGAGTGGGACTGTGCCAACATCAATCACTGATCCCCCATCATGAGACATAAGGCAAGCCAAGATGATAGCTGGCTTGTAGATTCTAGGGCAGTGGTTCTCAAGCCTGGCTGCATGATAAAGTCACACTGGGGGCTTTTAGAACGTGCCACTACCCTGGCCCCACACCCAAGAGTTCTGAGTTCATTAGTCTGCAGTAGTGCTAAGATATTGATATTTTTGTTCTAATATGCAGTTAGGGGCTGAAAACCATGGGCCTAGGGGGACTTAGAGATAAGAGGTTCATATAACAAAAAGACAGAGAGGGGGTCATTTCCACCAATTCAGGGCACAGTGAAAAAAGCCAGAATGAGAATAACTTTTACAACAGGCCGACAGGAGACAACCTGTCTAGAGAGGACAAAATGTGTAGGGACACTGAAGGTGGAAATACAGACAGGTCGCAGTCCATGGAGAGCCTTGAATGCTAGGTCTCGATGTTTTCTCTGCATCACAGAGGTAACCAAGAGGTATTGAAAGTTCATAAACAAGAAACACAGTGTATTAAGGAAATGACCAAGGCAATGTGGAATTCACAGTCCTTGAAAACATCTGACCCCCAACAACTCTCCAGCCCCACCTTCTGCCACTCACCTCCCTTCCCGTGTCACTGAGAAGAAAGGGACTTGTGGTTCCCCATGCACACAATGCAAATTCTCACCTTGAAACCTTTGCCCATGCTAAAATGCTTCGCTACTTCAAAGCTGTTCTACTTGTCTGTTAAGATTCAGCCATTTTCAGCTGCCTGTCCTGATGTCTGAGCTCACCTAGGACTCCCATCTCTGAGCTCCCGTAGCCTTCTGGGATGCCATCTGTGTCTCTGCTCTGAGAATACCATCCTATAATTGGCCAGCCATGCGTCTGTAGCCCACCACCATGCTGGAGAGCTCCTAGGAGCCAAGAGTTGGATCTGACTCCTGAGTCCTCAGTATGTGGCAGAGTCAGTATTGTCTATTGAATAAATG